AGAACCAAGTGAACGATATCGTTCCCCGGAGGACAAACAACTCAGCCGCTAAGCGTAAGCTACCCTTACCTAACACTACCAGACTTTACAGATGGACTTACAGGCTTCACAAACCAGAACCAAGTGAACGATATCGTTCCCCGGAGGACAAACAACTCAGCCGCTAAGCGTAAGCTACCCTTACCTAACACTACCAGACTTACAGATGGACTTACAGGCTTCACAAACCAGAACCAAGTGAACGATATCGTTCCCCGGAGGACAAACAACTCAGCCGCTAAGCGTAAGCTACCCTTACCTAACACTACCAGACTTACAGATGGACTTACAGGCTTCACAAACCAGAACCAAGTGAACGATATCGTTCCCCGGAGGACAAACAACTCAGCCGCTAAGCGTAAGCTACCCTTACCTAACACTACCAGACTTACAGATGGACTTACAGGCTTCACAAACCAGAACCAAGTGAACGATATCGTTCCCGGAGGACAAACAACTCAGCCGCTAAGCCGAAGCTACCCTTACCCTAACACTACCAGACTTACAGATGGACTTACAGGCTTCACAAACCAGAACCAAGTGAACGATATCGTTCCCCGGAGGACAAACAACTCAGCCGCTAAGCGTAAGCTACCCTTACCTAACACTACCAGACTTACAGATGGACTTACAGGCTTCACAAACCAGAACCAAGTGAACGATATCGTTCCCCGGAGGACAAACAACTCAGCCGCTAAGCGTAAGCTACCCTTACCTAACACTACCAGACTTACAGATGGACTTACAGGCTTCACAAACCAGAACCAAGTGAACGATATCGTTCCCCGGAGGACAAACAACTCAGCCGCTAAGCGTAAGCTACCCTTACCTAACACTACCAGACTTACAGATGGACTTACAGGCTTCACAAACCAGAACCAAGTGAACGATATCGTTCCCCGGAGGACAAACAACTCAGCCGCTAAGCGTAAGCTACCCTTACCTAACACTACCAGACTTACAGATGGACTTACAGGCTTCACAAACCAGAACCAAGTGAACGATATCGTTCCCCGGAGGACAAACAACTCAGCCGCTAAGCGTAAGCTACCCTTACCTAACACTACCAGACTTACAGATGGACTTACAGGCTTCACAAACCAGAACCAAGTGAACGATATCGTTCCCCGGAGGACAAACAACTCAGCCGCTAAGCGTAAGCTACCCTTACCTAACACTACCAGACTTACAGATACACACACACAACATTGCAGGCAAGATAACAGATCTGTACCAGCAGTAAACTATGGCAAATGGCATACCTAAGAATAATCTGTACGGTCAGTGGACATCCAGTGCTGGAAATGCAACCTGGCCACATTAGGGTGAAACACTTGCACAATCTAACGTTTGACCTAAGCTAATATAACACAATCATATTTCATGCATGGCATAAACATGATTATAAAAATGACAAATAAATAAACACTAACATATTGAACAAGCTACCACACTAACCAAATGGATATAAATAATAAACAAATAATATACACACCAGGCCTAGGTGACAGTTAACCGCTGTCAGTCAGTCTTGACAAGAGTGAGTGAGTGCAGAAGTGTCAACCTAAAACCTTAATATAATAATAAAACCTAATACACATAACTTATAACCCCAGAGTTAGGTGACAGTTGACCGCTGTCAGTCATCAGAATAACTGAGTGCAGAAGTGTCAACCCTAAAGCCTTTGTATTAAACAATAATGCACAGTGAATACATACCTGCTAACCCATTCATCAATGAAAAGACCTGCAGAATATTTACCCACTTTATAACGTGCATTAATGTAAATACATGTAATATATACAATAATAATATAAATGGATACATATTGGTAACACTACACATATATAAATATGTTGACAGAAATTTGATTAAAATCAAACCACGCAAAGCCATGTGAACGTTGCTACAGCGTTGCCATGTATCCAGCGACAATGATTGACAGCTAGGTACATCGCAACACTGCAATCAACACCATGAAATTTACAGGTAATACGCCGGGTGCGAGGCATGCAGCTTCCAGCGGTTGAAATGAACAAGCACATGGATAGTGGATACATCAACACCCTTTGATATTACTATGTTTTTTACATTGCGATGGATTTGTTTACGGCCGAAAAGTGATAAATAGAAAACTAAAGAGCACTGGGGTTTTTACTCTATTAGCCATTGAAAAAGCTTAAAACGCTCCGTACAGCGAGTTTTGCTCTATATAAGGACATCACGTGACCCATTCATCAGTCCTTTCCCATTGTCGTGTGACATATTTTTCTTGTCACAAATTTCACAAAGGCTTAATCCTGTTCACAGCGCCATTGTTGTGAAAGCCTAGTGCTAGGGAAAGGCGCTTACCTTGCTTCGTAAGCGTAGATGATGAGGAGATCAAGCGTTCTGTCAGTTCTGCGATTAGCGTCTGTTCTCGTCAGTGTCTTGTCTCGATCTGTCCGCTGTCACCTGTCAGATTTGGCGCGTAAGTTGATCACGTGCCCCGATCACACCCGGAAACATGCGAGCATCACTGGATGGCCAATCCGATGAAACCCAATACACGTATACGAGTGCGGAAGCACTGATCACTACATTTCTATATCAAAAAGAGTTATACTCTATATATTGACCTTATCATAGAGCCTAATATTTCAACTGCTAGGATAAATAAATAAGGGAAGATCTGATCTCCTGTCTTCATCCTCGTTTCTGATGGAAAAAGGAAGAAATGTGCCCATTTGTATCACAGCAGCTGTATTACCAGAATTTGAATTCATTTGATAATGTTGAGCCCAAATCCAAACGCTTTAATTACCTGTATTATAAATGTTTTGGAGATTAATTAGTAATAATAGGCCAGGTGTATTTAACTTTCTGGTTTCAAAGACTATATCAGAGAAGTCTTATATTTTCACTCATACGGGTATTAAACCTGTTTGATTCAAATGTACACTTGTATCTAATGTTAATTAAATCCTGTTTACTATACTGGTGCTTAGTATTTTGTTGAGGGAATTTTGTATTGAGGGCACCAGAAATGGGATTCACACATTGTACCCATGTGGGGAATCGAACCCGGGCCTTTGGTATGACGAACGAACGCGTTAACCACTGGTCTGACTGAACCACCACACACCCCACACCCTTCCCCCGAATTTAGTAACTCTACATATAGTATACGTACATAGTACAAAAATGTAAACAATAATATTCTCTTAACAGAAAGTATGATGGAACTATTGTTAATTTCGAATAATGTCAGCAAAATATACAACGAATACCATTATTTGCAGCTAGTGAAATAACAGGTCTAACTTGTGATCCCCTACACCCAGCCATTTCTACATTGCTGTATACATAATCGTGAACAAGCCTATGTTTATGTTTAAAAAGCTTGCCTACCTGATCCTCAGTTGTCTTCCCATGTAACGACTCCCTTCGATCACCCGGACAAGCAGTAGGTGGGCGGGGGGGACGCCAACATCCAGATTCTTCCAGCGTTCCGTCTGAAAGAAATGAGTCCTGGATAAGCATCAAAAATCACACTTCTCAAATTGGTAGAGTTCTTTAAATGCAGTGAGAGTGTGGTTTAACGCCGCTTTTAGCAATATTCCACCAATACCATGGCAACGGACTTCCGAAATGGTCGTTAAACATCGTACCGAAGTGGGGAATAGTACTCGGGCCCTCGGCATGACGAGCAAACACCAACCACTAGGCTTACCTCACAGTGGGAGAAATGTTCAGCAAAAGTACAGTGAGTGAAGTATTTGGTATATCTGGTATATCGATCACCCCGAAAAGCAGTGTACTGAATGACGTCAGTATGTTTTAGGGTTCCTTTTATGTACTTCACGACTTGGGGAGCAACCATTTGCTTTTCAGAGGGTAGGAGGGTTACCAAGTATGATCAAACCTATGTTTTACTGCATATTCTGTATTTGCTTGCCTCACATTGTCGGAAAAGCGATATGGGACATTTTTCGAAATGTCTGTTTTGAATTATGAAGCAAAATTTGAATGTATGAAAATGGTTGCTCCCAAATGTAAAACCTGGTTGAGAAAGGACGTACGTAAATTTTGTAGGACTTGGTGCACATATCCCAAGCCAGGTTCAAACGCTCGCTTGCGACCAAGCGTACTGCTGGAACAGACAAAGAGCAAGTAGACAACTTACATAACATAATCCCAGTCAACGAACCCGAAACAAAGGAACAAAAATAACTCAAATCACCTCAGTGACAAGCCTTCACACGGCATGTTCTCTATTCGCCCACATCCCATCTCGCCCACAGTTTTAAAACAACATATTGGTTAGGGTTTACATAATGATCAACTTGTGTCATACCTATGACTGAAGAATGGACTCTCCTATTTTGAAGATGTGGGCGAATTGAGATGTGGGCAAATGAAGACAAAAGTAATTTACATTTTGTTTTTATTTCTGTAACAAAGTTTCATAATGTTCAGTTCAACTTGATCAGGTGTCCAGCCGCGTCCAGAAACTGTAGCGGTGATCTTCTGCCAGTTTCCAGTTGCTGCTGCAGTCTGTGCAGGCTGGCTGTCCAGGTTCTTGTAGAGTCTGGATCTTGGGCGGACAGCTGCTCCATGCTCAATCTGTCTTCTGGCCACTCTGTTTGTTGTCTCGAGCTTCTTCATTGTGATCACAAACTCGTAAATGTTCGGGTGGTGCTTCTGAACCAGCTTCTTAAATCAAGGTGGAATCCCTCCAAGTGATTGTTTGTTCTTGGCCCAGTGTTTCCATGTTGATTCCAAATGCGAGGTGGGAATCTTGCGTCGTAGTCAACCCATGTAGATGTGATGTAGTCGTTGAACTGGCCGATTCCGTCAACGTCGGGAGACTGGTTCAATACTTCCATCCAGGCATCTTGGATCTGATCCACTGGGAGGAGGGGGAGTGCTGCAGCACGTCGCACGTGGGTGTTGAAGGCACGGTTGTCCTTGTAGGTTTTCACAAGGCCTTTCTCTGAAACCTGCCGCCAAACCGCCTGGGTGAAGTGGAAGTAGCATCCACGGACTTCTGCATCGGGAAGACTCTCTCAGTGGCTCCAATAGCAGCAGCTTCGTAGTCAGTCTGTACAACGGAGGGAGAAAGTTCAACGCCGACAATAGCAAGCACAGAGTCCTTCAAGTAGTTAAACAATCTAATGTATGTATCACGAGACTTGCTTGGCAGCAGGGAGAAGGCGACTGGGAACATCTGTCCATCCACAAGGCAGTGCACAATGTAGACTTGTTGCCACAGGCTGGGACACACAAAAATGTTCCGTCCATGTAGATGGTTTCTGCATTGGCGAGGATGTCCAGCATCTCTGCGGTACTGAAGATCAGGATCCTGTCTTCATCTTCGCTGTCTACAACCAGGAACTGTTGTCCGTCTGTTGTCTCAGTCCAGGAACCTTAAAAACAAGCAAGTATGTTAGACGTTGTTTTTGATGAATGAATGAATGAATGAAGTACACTGTCAAGAAATCAATTGAGCATTATGCAAAATATCAGTAGATAAGTTAATACTTAAAAAGGTACCTGTGAGGTCTACATCAGCACGGGTACGTGGGACTGGTGGAAGAACCTTGGCACGCTGACGGTAGAGTCCAGACTTGATACTGTAGAAGGAAGCAACAGTAGCAGCAGCTTCTTCGTCTAGGTTCTGGGTCTCTTCATTGTAGATTTGCTGGACAGGCTTGATCTCTTCTTGAACGCGTTGTCTAAGTCTGGTGAGAAGTCGACTCTCTTCTTCATTCACTAGTGGAGGATGGTTGTGTTCTGATACTGAAGTGATGTGATCCCCAATGGTGCTGCATCTACCCTTGCACTTGTCGATGATACACTTCCAGTGAGTGGCTACCTGTCTGTCAACGTGCAGTCGATACTTGTGACCTCCGTGTAGAACCTGTTTTCCTCCTCTCTGCGACAACGTGAACTCTGCTTTCTGTAGGTTAGCCATTGCGACTGCCCATACTTTGCAAACTACCATACTTATAGGGTTGCAGTGAGTTACTAAATTGAAAGGAGAGAGAGAAGTTATTTCCGATTAGTAGATACATTAATTAATAATACTCTCTACTTTATTTAGACAAGGCACCCGTGAAGGGCCACCTCCTCGTGGTGGGTGCTGGGTAACGCTAAGAGCCCTTCAACCCCCCGTTGTGGACCCGGGGGCATATTTGGTCCACCAACCCGTTTGCCGTGGGTTGCGCCCCTGTGTCGGTGGAGGAAGGTAGTCTGGTGGTTGAGGGCACTGGTTCCAGGAACAGTGTTCCTCTGCCCAACACACCACTTCGGCCCTGACTTCACCTAGACGGGTGGTTGAATGGGCCCGGTTCAACCAATCGGCTGGTCACGCCAAGCCCTGTGTATGGACTATACATATATCTATATGTCATTGCACACATTTGATTTGGAATTGTTTCAGTTTCGGACTTGGCATCATTGTTCATCCAAAACGTTTGTGATTTTTGAAATATGTTATTATTAACTTTGCCTAGAGTCTTATGCCCAGAAGGCGGTGGCTCATGGGCCAATCTGGTAGATTAGTTATTTCTAACTCTTCTGCTTGAGTATATCATCCGAGTATCCTTGGTGCTGCAAGTCGGAGACCCACTTGTTTTTAGCATTGTCCTTGTGATACTCCGTGGAGGGTGGGGAGCTCGGATGTTGAACCATAATCTATTAGCTATGGCTTACGAAACTCCCCGAAACGTCAGCTTGATACTGATCCTATTGACAACGAACTTAGACTGCCCAATTCAATCGATTACTGGCCACGTTTTCTTGTTCTTGAGACCGAAGATAAGACACCGCTGAAGTTAAACCCATTTGCTGTATCAAAGGGTATCCAAGGCATTGCCGGAGATGTGAAGACTATTAAACGATTACGTTCTGGTGCGCTGTTGATTGAGTGCGGCAAAAGGCACCAGTCAAACAACCTGTTGAAGATTGAAACTTTTGTCGGCATTCCAGTCACTGTTACGGCCCACAAAACACTTAACACAAGCAAAGGAATCGTCAGAGACCGTGATCGGTTGCTGGCTGACATGTCGGAATTAGATATTGTCTCCGAGATGAGAGATCAGGGTGTGTTGTATGTTAAGCGTTTTACAACCCGTAAAAATAATGAAACCATAAAAACCAACACCTATCTGTTTTCCTTTTCCTTACCTACTGCCCCCAAATCGCTGAAGGCAGGCTACTGTAACCTCAATGTTGACACTTACATTCCGAATCCCCTTCGGTGCTTCAAGTGCCAAAAGTTCGGTCATGGCGTGAATACTTGCACATTGTCTGTTGTGTGTGCTCACTGCGGTGGAAAGACACACACAACAGAAGATTGTGACAGTGATACAAAAAAATGTACTAACTGCTCAGGGGACCACCCATCATTCTCAAAGACTGTCCTATTTGGAAAGAGCAAATGGCCATCAACAGAATTAAATTCACCCAAAATATTAGTTTTGCAGATGCAAAGAAGTTGGTCCAAGGCAAAGAACCAACACAAAGCTATGCTTCCATTGCCAGAACGTCAGAAGCAAACTCTACAGTCACCAAATTATCTGCAAGTTGTCAGACCAACTTAACATGGGTTACAACAGATTCTCCTCAAATTATTTCAACTGCCATATCTACTCAGACAGCTGAACCACTTCCTAGTACATCTGAAAGGCAGGCAGGGTCATCTTCAGATCATAAGTCATCCTCTCAGTCCTGTTCACAGTCTCAATCTTCATCTGATTCTCAAGACATTGTTAAGGCAAAACTAAACCGAAGCAAAAACACAGTGGCAGAGCCCCAAAAGGGTCGGAAAATAAAATTCAGCTGTACAACAAATATGGATCTCTTGAGGCCATGGACGTATGTGAAAACGTCCATCCTAGGGCACATAGCTTGTCGCCCTCCAAAAAAGTGCGGGGTAGATCCCCAATAAATCCCCCCAAAAAGATAATGTCTTTGAATAATATTGTACAATGGAACTGCAGAGGACTAAGGAATAATTTGAATGATTTGCAGCTATTAGTCCAGGACTTCACACCATCAGCCATCTGTCTCCAGGAGACATATTTAAAACAGACGGATACATTCGATTTACGTCATTTCAATGCATACCATTCCTTTTCACCTCCAGGTGATCGGGCCACTGGAGGATCTTCGATCCTTGTCAAGCAAAATGTTATTCATAGCCCTGTTATACTTAATACTGGTCTCCAGGCGGTTGCCGTACGACTGACGTTACATGTTGCGTTCACATTATGCTCATTGTACATCTCACCGTCTTCGACTCTTCGGAAGACTGACCTTCAAAATTTATATGACCAACTCCCAAAACCTTGTATCATTATGGGAGATGTAAATGGCCACAACCCGCTCTGGGGTGGTACAACAACTAATGCTAAAGGTAAACTATTAGAAGACTTCTGTTCAGATAATGATGTATGCATATATAATGACGGTTCTAGCACATATTTACATCCTGGCACAGGAACTTATTCAGCCCTTGATTTATCAATTACTGACTCAGACTTATTGAGTGAATTTGAGTGGTCAGTCCACGACGACCTGTGTGGAAGTGACCATTTCCCAACAATTCTCAAACCCGTGAATCCATCTGATGTTCCTCCATCATCAAGATGGAACTTTAAGAAGGCTAACTGGCCTTTATATGAAACTTTCTGTGCTGACAAACTCAAACCTGAACTTTTTCATGATCTTCCTGATGCCATCAAATGTTTTTCAGATGAGCTCAGACACATAGCTGACAAGTGTATCCCCAAATCCTCTGCAGTTCCTCATGTACGTAAACCATGGTTTAACGCTGAATGCAAACAAGCTCGCAAGGCACGGAAGAAAGCTGAACATTATTTCCGTCGCCATCCTATGGTCCACAATTTAAACAAATTTAGAATTTTAAACGCCAAAGCACGGCGTACTTTTAAACAAAATAAACGCCAATCTTGGCGAAACTATGTCTCAAACATCAATTCGCGCACGCCAATATCAAAGGTGTGGAACATGATTCAGAAAATAAAAGGAAAGGGCTCTAAATCTAGCATTAAGCATCTAAAAAAATGGAGATGAATTATTAACTGATAAATCTGACATAGCAAATAAACTTGGAGAAACTTTGGCCAAACATTCTTCCTCATCAAACTATGTACCTGAATTCCAGAAATATCAAAGACAGCAGGAAAAGAAATCTATTAATTTCAATTCAGACAATGGGGAAGACTACAATGAAACCTTTTCGATACATGAACTTCATACTGCTCTTGACCAAGCTCATGATACTGCTTCAGGAGCTGATGGTATACATTATCAACTCCTGAAACAGTTACCTGAATCATGTTTAGAGACGCTCTTATCTATTTTTGATCACATTTGGACATCTGGACAATTTCCGTCGTCGTGGCGCGATGCTATAATTGTGCCCATCCCTAAACCTGGACGTGATCATACTGATCCTTCCAATTATAGGCCAATTTCATTAACTAGCTGTGTTTGCAAGACCATGGAACGCATGATCAACAACAGACTTGTTTGGTACTTGGAAACCAATAACCTTATAACTAATATACAATGTGGTTTCCGTAAAAACCGTAGTACCATCGATCATTTAGTGCGCTTAGAATCTTTTGTGAAAAATGCCATAATTAATAAACAGCATGCAGTGTCGATCTTTTTCGATTTAGAAAAAGCATACGACACAACATGGAAACATGGGATTTTAAAGGATTTACATGACTTTGGATTACGAGGCCGTTTGCCTCAATTTATATCCAACTTTTTAAATGACAGGCAATTTCAAGTCCGAGTGGGTTCTACCCTGTCTGACCATTACAATCAGGATCAGGGTGTCCCGCAAGGCAGTATTTTGTCTGTCACATTGTTTAGTATCAAGATAAACAGTTTATCAAAGGTTTTAAACGATTCTATTGATGGGTCACTTTTTTGTGGATGATTTTAATATTTCTTGTCGCGGTAAGAATATGCATACTATTGAACGGCAAATGCAGCTGTGTTTAAATAAAATACATAAATGGTGTCTTGAAAACGGTTTTAAATTTTCTAAATCCAAAACTAATTGTATACATTTTTGTAGAAAATATAAACCGCATAAAGACCCGGAACTGTTTCTCAATGGCACTCCCATCAAAGTTGTAAAGGAGGCCAAGTTCTTGGGCTTAATTTTTGACTCTCATTTAACGTTTCTGCCGCATATTAAATCTCTTAAAACTAAATGCCTGAAGGCACTTGACTTGTTGAAAGTTGTTTCCAATTCTAAGTGGGGAGGGGATCAAGCTACCCTCCTACAATTATATCGATCATTGGTACGTTCCAAACTTGATTATGGCTCCATCGTTTATGGTGGAGCCTGCAACAGTAATTTAAAACTTTTAGATTCTGTCCACCACCAAGGTCTAAGACTATGTCTTGGTTCCTTTAGAACTTCACCTGTTGACAGCCTCTACGTCGAGGCTGATGAGCCGTCTCTTACACAACGCCGCATAAAATTAACTTTACAGTATATTACAAAACTTTATTCCAATGAGTCAAACCCTGCATATAACTCTGTCTTTAATCCACTATATGAAGATCTGTATAACAAGAAGCCTTCTCTTGTTCCGCCTCTTGGTATAAGAGTGAAACCTTTTCTTTCTGCTGCTGGCATTGAGCTAGAACATATAGCTCCTTCCCGTTTTCTTTCTTCTCCGCCTTGGCAATTGGTAAGGCCACAAGTTGACCTAACATTAAATACATTTAAAAAAATCAGAAACAAATGAATTACAGTATAAACAAGAATTTAGTCAATTAAGAAATAAATATACTACATACAAATCCTTATTTACAGATGGGTCCAAGGATGGTGGCGCAGTGGCATGTGCCACTGTCGTTGGATCCCGAACAATATCTTCTAGAATACCGGATAACAGCTCTATATTTACAGCAGAAGCAAACGCCATCTTAACAGCTCTTAAATATATTAATAAACACCGTAAATATAAACAATATATCA